GCTAATAGGTTAGCATGATGGCCCTTTATTCTCAAAACTTGATGAATATGAAACTCAAACTTTAAAAAAAACAGGTATCAGATAGTATATTTGTAATATTTATGTCATTCATATTTAACAGCATAAAAGAGGGACACAGTATTCTAGTTTTTCATTACAGACTGTCCCAGTTTTGGGACTTAAGTTTGAGCTTGCTGATTCTAAGGTTTTGACAATGAGGGGCCAAAACTTGCAACAAGAAGGTTGCAGAGTGACCTACTGTGGTGTTTTCTGGGCAAGACACTTCACTCCCTTTACCACAGAGGAATCTCAATTGGTGTAGCATCAGACTCCAAATCAAAGTTATGTTAAAAGCTGAGTTTTCTTTACAGTATATATGGAGAAATTGGGTTGGGTACAGAGACATTGGATTAGTTTCTTGTCAGCACAAATCAAGGTAGGAGCACCTATTGAATATTGTTTTTACCTTGCCTGCAATTTGCTAATAGTAAATTATGTGGCCCAAGGTGTATCAGGTGTTTGATTTACTCAGTTAATGATCACACACTATTTCTGGACAATATACATGAATGGTTTATGGAATTTAGCAACTAAACTAAATGTCAAAGTTAGAAGTGAGTTTTAGTTTTTTGGGTGCTTTTAAACTATAAAATGGAAATTAGGAACAAAAAATTGTTGGGTTTTTTTTCCAAGTAGGGGTTTCAGTTTACTAGGTAAATAAAAATAATAGTATTAAAGAAGACAAAACTTGGAACCAAAAAAATAATTCAATTTTATGGATATTTCAGCTTACAGGGGATTTAGTTTTGAGTGTTTTAATTTTAGTTACACAAAAACTAAAATTTCTCACATATCTGATCATGTCGTTTCATAACAAGATGCTATAGATCTCATACTGATTTCTGCATTTAATGAGTCATACCTTATAGTTATCTATAATTTGACTGTATTGCATTGTGACGGAAAATATTATTGCCTATGATAGCTAAAGTTTCATCATTGAAATAAAATAAGTTACTCAAGTTACAATGGTGAGGTTTATTATTAGTCTTCGTATATATTTAATTTTAGACTTATTTATAAATCACTATGATAAAATATGACAAGTAAATTGAAACAGTACATTTGCCAAGCCACAGTGTGTCACGTACAAAGCAGTATTTTCAGTTTAGACATGTTTTGATAAACACAATGTTCTGAGACAATTGAACCAAAAAGTATGATTGCAAGTGTGTGTGTGTGTTTCTCCTGAAGTTCTACATTTGTCTCATTGACAGTATATCCTTATCTTAAGAAAGTTTTCTGTGGTAGTATTTCCCCCAGCTGCTTTTGATGTGTTGTCCTGCATAAAAGGCAAGCAAATGGTAGGGAATTATTTGAGAAGCTATTGAACATTAAACCAGGAAATGAAAGTCATTAAAAAAAATCAAGAAATAATATATTATGAAATAAATTATTATTTGTATTAAATATTGCTTTTAAAAATAAAATGATAAAAGTAAAAGTAATTAGACGAATGAAAAAAGAAAATTATATCACAGGTGTATTCACAGAGTAATAGTCATTCAAGAGTTCTCATGCTAATTGTTGGTTTGTTGCAATTTTTAAAGACAAGAATGGATTTATTTAAGTAGTTTAATGAATATATATATATATATATATATATATATATATATATATATATATATATATATATATATATATATATATATACTATTTTGCATTAAATTTAGACATAAAACTAAAGTTCATGATCAAAACTACCTAAGCAGATGGAGTTTAAACTTAATATGCTCATAGAGGAACCAGAAGTTAAGAAAATCCCCAAAGTTCTGCAATTCTAACTTAATTTTGATCAAAGTTACAGAACTTCAAAGTTTTCAGAATTAAAGATTGCACTTAAGCTACATGAAGATCCAGAACATGGGGCCCGTTCTTTTTGTAAGTGTGCATCCATCTAAGTTGACACTTGACTGGTATCAGCATCATGAGAAAAATGGTATTGGTGATCAATACATATTAGTTAACTATTAAGATGGATTTGCCAAAGCTCTTCTGCACAAGTGGCAAGTTTCAAAAGAACAACAGTTGCTACTGTAAGTTTTTACTCATTACAGGTTTCTTATATCTCTTTGTAATTTTAGTGTATAGATTTAATGAAGAATAAAATATGAATGTGGGCTGCCATGTACTGAAAGCTTTTTTTTGTAGGGTTATGATTTTAGTTTTTCAGTAGAATCATATGCACTGGAAAAAGTAGCCTTGTAAAATGAAACTCTTGTATCAATTGGGAATCAAAGAAAACTTTTGCAAAATTGCAAAACTAAATTTTGGAAATTAATCAGTGTGGTAGATGTGAGTGTGTATGTGTGAGTGTATATATATATATATATATATATATATATATATATATATATATATATATATATATATATATATATATATATGGGGAAGTCTTGTAAATTTAATAAAATGGCAATAGAATTAAAATTTCATATATTATTGTAATTATAAAAATTTTCCTGTGTTGGAATTATAGTTTCTAAAATAATCTGAATTGTGGGTTTCATTCATTTTTCAGATACATTGAGTGTGTTCATTAAAACGTTTTACAATTAAAAGATACATTAAATGAAAATTACATGCAGAATTTTCTTCAAAATAATTTGAGTAAACAGTGAGTCTACCTTCAGAACAAAAAAATAATGATAATAATAATAATAATAATAATAGTAGTAACAACAACAGTAATAATAATAGTACCAGTAATAATAATAATAATAATAATAATAATAATAATAATAATAATAATAATAATAATAATGTTCTTGTTTATATCATTACAGCAAATGCTACTAATATTCCTACAGTGTCCTTGTCCCATGCTTTAATGCTGGGGCAGGAACACAGAATATGTTATAAATTAGGGCACCCTATATTGAGGTAATATCAGTATTAAAACTACTGGTATATTCATAGCAAAAATTTGGATAAATGACACAGTACTACTTCATTTTAATGGTGTCAATTAAAGCTCTGGAATAGTTTATTAATGTAGTGCATGATGCATGATGCATATAATTTTAGTACTGAAATAGAATGGATGACCATAATCACCTTATAACATGAACCAAGTTATAATGAAGAGTCTTATAGTGAGGAAATACAGTATGAAGAACCATGCTATACTAAAGTACATTATAATAAGTCACCAATGTACATGTATATGTACCACTATTGTAGTATAACCTAGCACTTTATCATCATTACTACAAATGTGTTCTCTGTGAACTTGTGATTGCTTACTCTATACTTATATTTTTGATGGAACAGTTACAGTAGTCCAAAACCTTTCACCCAGTTTATCCACAGTTTCAAATTGATCTTTGACTGGACTTGATATTATTGCACTCACAATTGTGTAATTATTACCATTAATGCTTTGAAGAAAGCAACAGTAGTACACTTGCTGAGATTGCCACTTAGAAAATTGTTTGCCCATATTGTATGTTCTTTTACATGCAATAAAACAATTGATCTACATAGTAATACGCTCATTATTGTAAGTGCCTAGGAAATGGGTTGTTGAATAATTTCCTGAATTGGCAAACTGCAAGTATCTGAAGAGATTGCAAGTCAGGCAGTTTATACTACACTTGGACAAGAACCACTTCAGGTCTCTTGACTGGTACAAGGGTTTAGTCCACTGTGTTGCCAGTATTGGCTGCCTCCATAGAAAGATGTGCTTAAAGTGAATAAATGCTGTTTGAAATGTGTATTGTAGAGGATTAGATTGTCTATTGTAGAGGAATAGATTGTATATTGTGGGAAGCAAAATATGCCTGTATTTCCTTTATAACACAGATTATTTGATATGTACAGATTTATGCCCTTAACAGAATTATTAACTTGATATCAATATTTGTTCTTAAATTTTCAAGGTGAAATATATTGTTTGTCAAAACCACATTAGAGAGAATTGAGACATAGTGGTCACTTTTCCACCATCAATGGCATCACCAACAGAGTGTCAAGGTACTGGTTACAGTTTTTCCCACTATGCTTTGATTTTGGACTTAACATGCAGGCTCTGGTCTGCCAATAATGTGGAATATATAATGTTTTGATGGATGGGTGGATGTCCATCTTCACATTCTGTTCCCTGCTTTGTTTTAGCACAATAACTAAACTTCTCAACCATTTGCTGTTTCCAGACTTTTTAAGTATCTAGCTTTTGGGTTAAGGAAGAAACCTATTGATTTTGGGATCAAAAAGTCAAATATCAAGGCCATTGGGACTGAAAGAAAACAAAAACTTGTTTCCACACAATAATTAGATTTGTATATCAGATGTCTTGACTAAATTCTGTCAATTGCTTGCATTTTTTTCAGGTAAGAAAGCTATTGATTTTGTAGTATATATGAACTTTGATCCAACTTTGAATCTTGCAGTTTTTTAACAAACAAGCAATAACACTCAGGCATTGATTTCAGGGTCAAAGGTCTTGGCTCAGGTTTTTTAAAAATCTGTGATGACTTTGAACATGATAAAAAAACATGTATTATTGGAGTATTTTTTTAATGTTTGTTTTCTTCAGCAGTCATGATTGATTAATTTGAGATTTTTTATACATATGCCATAGAGGATGAGTTTATATTATAATGTCTTCTGTCTGTCCATCCATTCTGTTTTATTTCTGAACAATACCTGAAGTTTTCAACAAACTACCATTATCAAGCAGTGCAAGTAGTTTGCATGTTGGGGCAAGAAAAAGGCCTGTACATTTTGGGCTTAAAAGATCCAAAGGTCAAGGTCACATGGACTGAAAGAAGAAAAACTGTTTCCATACAATAACTTTATTTGTATGCTGAAGAGATGTAGCACAATGTCCCACCCAGTCACATTATCTTGACACCAAGCTGACCAGTTTTAATACTAACCTCTTAATGCAGAGTACCAAGCAAGGCAGCTGTTAGGACCATTTTTATTTGTTTTTAGTATGACATGCCTGGTATTTAAATCCACAACCTCCCACATTCAAGGCAGACACTCTAACCACTAAGCCAACAGAGCAGTACCAGGTACCTTGTCTAGACTTTGTAAATGCCTTTCTTTTGAGGTTAAAAGATATGCCTGTTGATTTGGAGATCAAAATGTTGAAGATCAGAGTCAATGATTCAGAGAACAATAATTTTTATCTATTTCAAACTGTCTGTCACTGCCGTTGACTAAATTTTGTGGTTGACTTGTGTATGACACAAGAAAGACTTTCATTTTGGGATCAAAAGATCAAAGGTTATGATCTCAGTGGCTAAAAGAAGGATAAACAATTTCCAGAAAACTACCAAATGATATTAATAAACTTTTTAAATGGCTTGCATTTGAGACAAGACACATATTGATTTTGTGGTCAGAAAGACAAACGTCAAGGTCAGAGGGACACAAAAAAAGAAAAGTTTCTATTGAATAACTTAAATCCTATGCAACAAATCATTACCAAACTTTGTTTACAGCTTGCATTTGAGACAAGAAAAACACCTATTGATTTAGAGGTCAAAGTCATTATGGATGGAAGAAAAGAAAAAAAATGGTTTCTGAAAGTGGTGTTGTCAGCAGAAAACTTCAAATCATGCCTGGTTGGTCCTGAATGAAAATTGTACTGTTCTGACCTCCAGTATGGACATCATGATGGCCATTTTGAAAATCTTGTTATTACTACTACTGATTGCAGGATCATATTGACATGTAGTTTTCACCAAAATATGTATGAAATTTAGTTGGTCCTAAAATGCAAATAGTGTCAGTATTATGTCCATTGTGGCCACCATGCCACGACAGTCATTTTGAACATTTTGTTTTTGCTCCAGAATAATGGAGATGGTTCAACACACAGCAGTTAAACAAAAGCAGTGATCTTATCTTGTATCATTAGAAATGATGTTCCAGCCAGTAGAATGTCAGTAACTTTGAAGAACTCTTGTTTGACTTTGTTAGTCAGACAACTTTAACTGTTTTCCCGCATCTCTCTTTCTCTCCATCTCCCTCACTGTCCCCCCCTCTCTCTCTCTCTCTCTCTCTCTTTCTGTATCACACACACACATGCACACACACACATGAACACAGCATACATACATTCAACTAAGAATGACCTCATTGTAGACATACTATTGAAAGATGTCATTGCCTGTGCTTTGTAACTTTACAAAACTTTACTGATGATCAAGTTCAGCAAAGTAAATTGTGTATGGCCATTCATGTTAGATATGATTCTCTGACAGCTGGGAAGCTTCCAAACCCATAATTTTTATATTGTCCATGCTATTTTCTTAGAATTCTATTCAGTTGTTTGGTTGTATGACTTTATTCGGAGCACTAAAACTGTTTTGTCATGAAAATTAAAAATTGATTATGGTCACTGTATGACAATTTGACTAATAAATTTGCCCATTATTTGAAAAGTTGTGTATTTAATTGCAGTTATTAAATTTTATATGTTGGGTGTATATGTTACACAAATAGTTTGTTGGGCTAAGTGTAATGAATGAAAAATCAAACTGTAGATAAAATAACTGACCATTCCAGTGGCCTAAGTTGTTAGAGCAGCCACTTTGGATGCAGGAGGTCATGGGATCGAACCCAGGCTGATTCATACCAATGACTTATAAAATTGGTACTGGCAGCTGCCTTGATTGGCACTCCACATAAAGACTTTATTATTAGGCCTGGTAGGTCTGGTGTCAGGATAATGTGACTGGGTGGGACATGATGCTACATGTCTGCAGCATGATACTCCAGTGCTAGACATCATGATAAAGTGCCACACTGCATACATTGTAGCAATATGACTGAAAAATTGTTACAAGTTACATTAAAAATCCAAATCACACACACACACACACAAAATGGCCTGATATAAATGGTTTCAACACTATTGGTCTGAGTAGGATTTGAGCTTGCACCTTTCTTGTCAAGAATCAGGTACTCCAACACTGAGTCACCAAAGCTTCTATAACAGAGGATTTGTAAACTACCATTGCTTGTCTATGACATTAGATATTGTCTCATTTTAAAAATTAATGCAGGGGACAATATTCCATTACACAAGAAAATATATCTTTTATAATTTCTCTCGTTGTTTGCCACTATATCTGAGCCTGATTTATGAAGACTTTTTGAAAGAGATCAAGAAAAAGCCAAAATCCAATTAACTCCTGTTAGAGCAAAATTTGCAAACCTTGATCTTATCAGTACTGCACAGAGATTTGTCTTTTTTCTATGTGTTGGTCATATCATAAATTATCGAACAATAATACCATTCTAATACTGGTTGTATTGTAATGTCAGAAAGCTAAAATAAGGCACTTGGAAATACATTATTATTTTAGTCATATTTTCTGTCTTGACAGTTAAATAAAAAAACATTTTTATTTTCACCCACTTTCATACAATTTAGTTTTATCCAGAATAAGTGGGCAGGAATATAGGTTAAAAGATTATCAAAAATGTGAGTTTTCATAAAAAAGCCAGAAAAATTAGTATACATTTTGAGATTTTCTTGTATTTAAATCAGATTGATAACAGTAGTACCTTTTTCAGTATTGCAGTGTTTTAGTATTAGAACAGAAATTGACCAATTTAGAATTTATGACAAATTAAACTACAAATTCTCAATGAATAGTTGTGATATATTTGATATTTTTTAATCTTTTGTGAATAACTAAAGAACCTTCATGTTTTACAAATATGTGTATTCCAGCTGGTGTTGAACCATTATCTAATATTTACAGATAAACAAAGACTATGTATGAATACCTCCAATGTGTCTGCTGCAATTAAAGTTTTGATAATATTTTTTTTTTTTACTCATTTATGAGACACTGTATATTCTGCAACCAGAACATGCAGTGCTGTCATAGATGGTGAAGAATTTGTTAAATTACTAGAAATTTGACAAAGACTATAAGCTGCAATTCACATGACATGTAAAAAATCTTTATAGGGAAGCTTCAAGGCAACTAATTGTTATGGTCATAAGTTAATGAGACTTAACAAATTGACAATATTTAATACATTTATCTTTTCCCGCTTCATCTTTTGTTCATTAACCTGGCATTTCTGCGAGTGACATGAACACTGCTAAACTTGAAAAAATACAAGAGATTCATGAGCTGTTATGATTGCACATGCAGTTATCATAAACTCTTGAGGCAAAAATGCCAACCCTGAAGGTACGCGGACTTCGAGCTATGGCTCTAGAGACTTTTAAACTTCAGAATAAACATGCTTCAAAATTTTCAAATAATTTGATATTCTTTAAACACAATAAATACAATTATTGGTATTTAAATAGTTTAAATTGTCCCAAGAATTAAACTGCAAAAAAGTCTTTCAGATATGCATCTGCCATTATAATGGATAGAGGTACTTATTACTTTGCAGACCGATGAAATTTAAATTCATTCAGCTCTTTCCTTTAATCCTGGTATAGTAAGACTGTAAATGTAATATTGCAAATAACATCCACCTTACCCATATCTCCCCTGCTGTGATGTTGACAACTAATATCTGTGTTACCAATTGTTTTGTCCTTGTCATATCTGCTAAATTCCTTTGATTTTAAGTAAGGCATAATCTGAATCTTCAAAATTCCTAAATTGCTGCTTCAGCATTTTATTTAAAAATTTATTTTTTAAATATAACTGTTAGTAACATGATATTTTTTCATCCTTTAAATTATTTAAAACATATGGATTTTAATTTGCCTAAATACTTAATTCACTTGAAATTAGTGCTGTTTAAAATGCTTTGCTAGGTTATGTTTTAATTTATGTGTTGTTTGTTTTCTTCACTTGTATCTATGTAATATGCATATTTGTGCTTCATTTAATGGCTCTTATATTTTTTATGTCATGTTGTTTGTTGCTGTTTTGGGGTTTAAAGCCATTTATTGTACATGATAGCTATATGTGGTGGTTAGTAGAAATGGTGGAGGAAGAACTAGGATAAGAACCAGAAATCATTTAATGGCTCTTGTATTTTTTTTATTTCATGTTGTTTGTTGCTGTTTTGGGGTTTAAAGCCATTTATTGTACATGATAGCTATATGTGGTGGTCAGTAGAAATGGTGGAGGAAGAACTAGGGTAAGAACCAGAGCCATAAAAAGCTACTGGCATATAGCTACAATGGCCGAGTGCAAGATTCAAACTGCATAATGACAGAGGTCAGATGGCAGGGATCAGTAAAAGCAATCTCTTTGGCAACCACTCGGCCACCCAAGGCTCCTTAGAGCTTACATTGAAGTATTGTTTTAAATCATGCTGACTTTAAACAAACATTTTTTTTACTGATTAGACTTTGGATACACTAAATGGAGATTTGAAGACATGATAAAGAATTATGCATTTGTTCAAAAAGTGTGATGCCTTTCCATTAACTTAAATACTAATGAAAATTACATTTTTATGGAGAAAAAAAAAGACTGAATTGCTTTAGCTTAATTAAATAGATTTCTTTTTAAAGATTCCTGACAGTGTTCACTATTGCTAGGAGTCTGAATACAATGTTTTGTTTTTATTTGGATTTAAGAAAAGACCTTAATTGAATCTTGTATAAACATGTACTGGCATACATCTGGGTATTGTCTGTATGCAATGAGATATGTTAGACAGGAACCTACTGGTATTTCTGTACATAGTTGCAAAGGTGTGCCAAAATTATTCAAAGTGAATTACCTTTGTGTTTGATCCCTGTCACTAAAACAATGCTGTACCCTGACTTTGTGAAGTTTATAGTCTCATCGCTGCACGGAGATGTAAACATTTATTGCCATCTCACTTGGGGTGTGTATGTGTTAGCAAAAACAGGACACTACAGAGGGTGGTATATTTGTAGATTTATTGTCATTTGGATCACCTGATAAAGTGTTCATCACAATGTTATGGAAACACACATTGCAAGGTATAGTCATTTAATTGACTCAGGAGGTTATGACTTTTTCTTTCATCTATTTTGATTTGAATGTTTATCTCCTGCCATTTTACGAAAAGCTGGGGTCAGTACATGTGTTAATATTCATCAT